CCTGCCACCATTAACTCTCTCTGACTCATGGAGTTTTGTAACCTGCCACCATGAACTCTCCCTGACTCATGGTGTCTTGTAACCTGCCACCATGAACTCTCCCTGACTCATGGTGTCTTGTAACCTGCCACCATGAACTCTCCCTGACTCATGGTGTCTTGTAACCTGACACCATGAACTCTCTCTGACTCATGGTGTCTTGTAACCTGCCACCATGAACTCTCTCTGACTCATGGAGTTTTGTAACCTGCCACCATGAACTCTCCCTGACTCATGGTGTCTTGTAACCTGCCACCATGAACTCTCCCTGACTCATGGTGTCTTGTAACCTGACACCATGAACTCTCCCTGACTCATGGCGTCTTGTAACCTGCCACCATGAAATCGGAAATGGAGGAAAACTAGACTCCCTGCGGACCAGTCATCTTTTCACTCCCTCCTCTCTACATTCTCTTCCTCTGTTTCCGCTGCCAAAGCCACTTTCTACCACTCTGAATTTCAAGGGTCTGCCTCTAACCCTAGGAAGCTCTTTGCCACCTTATCCTCCCTGCTGAATCCTCCTCCTCCTCCCCCTCCCTCCTCCCTCTCTGTGGATGACTTCGTCAACCATTTTGAAAAGAGGTTGACGACATCCGATCCTCATTTAATAAGTCAAATGACACCGCTGGTCCTGCTCACACTGCCCTACCCTATGCTTTGACTTCTTTCTCCCCTCTCTCTCCAGATGAAATCTTGCGACTTGTGATGGCCGGCCGCCCAACAACCTGCCCGCTTGAACCTATCCCCTCCTCTCTTCTCCAGACCATTTCCGGAGACCTTCTCCCTTACCTCACCTCGCTCATCAACTCATCCTTGACCGCTGGCTATGTCCCTTCTGTCTTCAAGAGAGCGAGAGTTGCACCACTCCTCAAAAGACTTACACTCGATCCCTCCGATGTCAACAACTACAGACCAGTATCCCTTCTTTCTTTTCTCTCCAAAACTCTTGAGCGTGCCGTCTCTAGCCAACTCTCCTGCTATCTCTCTCAGAATGACCTTCTTGATCCAAACCAGTCAGGTTTCAAGACTGGTCATTCAACTGAGACTGCTCTTCTCTGTGTCACGGAGGCTTTCCGCACTGCTAAAGCTAACTCTCTCTCCACTGCTCTTATCCTTCTAGACCTATCCGCTGCCTTTGATACTGTGAACCATCAGATCCTCCTCGCCACCCTCTCCACACCACGTGTCTCCGCACCACGTGCTCTCACCACTGGTGTCCCCCAGGGCTCAGTTCTAGGCCTCTCCTATTCTCTCTATACACCAAGTCACTTGGCTCTGTCATATCCTCACATGGTCTCTCCTATCATTGCTACGCAGACGACACACAATTAATTTTCTCCTTTCCCCCTTCTGATAACCAGGTGGCGATTCGCATCTCTGCATGTCTGGCAGACATATCAGTGTGATTGTCGGATCACCACCTCAAGCTGAACCTCGGCAAGACGGAGCTGCTCTTCCTCCCGGGGAAGGACTGCCCGCTCCATGATCTCGCCATCACGGTTGACAACTCCATTGTGTCCTCCTCCCAGAGTGCAAATAACCTTGTTGTGACCCTGGACAACACCCTGTCGTTCTCCGCTAACATCAAAGCGGTGACCCGATCCTGCAGGTTCATGCTCTACAACATTTGCAGAGTACGACCCTACCTTACACAGAAAGCGGCACAGGTCCTAATCCAGGCACTTGTCATCTCCCGTCTGGATTACTGCATCTTGCTGTTGGCTGGGCTCCCTGCCTGTGCCATTAAACCCCTACAATTTATCCAGAACGCTGCAGCCCGTCTGGTGTTCAACCTTCCCAAGTTCTCTCATGCCACCCCGCTCCTCTGCACACTCCACTGGCTTCCAGTTGAGGCTCGCATCTACTACAAGACCATGGTGCTTGCCTATGGAGCTGTGAGGGGAACGGCACCTCCTTACCTTCAGGCTCTGATCAGACCCTACACCCAAACGAGGGCACTACGTTCATCCACCTCTGGCCTGCTAGCTCCCCTACGGAAGCACAGTTCCCGCTCAGCCCAGTCAAAGCTATTCGCTGCTCTGGCACCCCAATGGTGGAATAAGCTCCCCCACAATGCCAGGACAGCGGAGTCACTGACCACCTTCCGGAGACACTTGAAAATCTACCTCTTTAAGGAATACCTGGAATAGTATAATAGTAATCCTTCTTCCCCCACCCCCCCCCATAAAAAAAAGAAGAAGAAAAAAGTGGTCATCCCACTGGCTATCATAAGTTGAATGCACCAATTTGTAAGTCGCTCTGGATACGAGCCTCTGCTAAATGATGTAAATGAACTCTCTCTGACTCATGGTGTCTTGTAACCTGCCACCATGAACTCTCTCTGACTCATGGCGTCTTGCAACCTGCTATTATGAATGAATGTGACTGCTGCATCTCCCAGTGGTTCTGTCAGTGTCTCCATAGAGATAGATACAGCAGTGGTCTTTATTGAACACCTATTAAAGCCTGATCACTACAACCTCAGAGTGAAACCTGCACTGATGGTTTTTAAGCATTCATATAAATGCTGAGAATTTCAAATGAGGTAAAATACAAATTTGGTATTAACTTGATGACTAATGGCTGAGAGAGATTTGAATTTGGTGATTAAAGTGTCTAGACGAGCAGCTTATGTTGACAAAACAAGAAAACAATCACACAAACATTCTAAACTTGGACTTAGGGCCACAGTAAACAGAGAGAGGATCCTATTTAGGGTCCACAGTAAACAGAGAGAGGATCCTATTTAGGGCCACAGTAAACAGAGAGAGGATCCTATTTAGGGCCACAGTAAACAGAGAGAGGATCCTATTTAGGGCCACAGTAAACAGAGAGAGGATCCTATTTAGGGCCACAGTAAACAGAGAGAGGATCCTATTTAGGGCCACAGTAAACAGAGAGAGGATCCTATTTTGGGACACAGTAAACAGAGAGAGGATCCTATTTAGGGTCACAGTAAACAGAGAGAGGATCCTATTTAGGGCCACAGTAAACAGAGAGAGGATCCTATTTTGGTCAAATCTACGAGAAAATGCACACTTTAGGCAATCAAGAAATGACCAAAAGCCTATCGATTAATACAATTATGACCAGTGGTACACTGTAAAAAAATAAAGGTGCTTTCTATATACAGTTGAAGTGGGAAGTTTACATACACTTAGGCTGGAGACATTAAAACTCGTTTTTCAACCACTCCACACATTTCTTGTTAACAAACTATAGTTTTGGCAAGTCGGTTAGGACATCTACTTTGTGCATGACACAAGTAATTTTTCCAACAATTGTTTACAGACAGATTATTTCAATTATAATTCACTGAATCACAATTCCAGTGGGTCAGAAGTTAACATACACTAAGTTGACTGTGCCTTTAAACAGCTTCAGTCTCTATGTGATTATATACAGCACCATCTCTTCAGTATCTATGTGATTATATACAGCACCATCTCTTCAGTATCTATGTGATTATATACAGCACCATCTCTTCAGTATCTATGTGATTATATACAGCACCATCTCTTCAGTATCTATGTGATTATATAACAGCACCATCTCTTCAGTATCTATGTGATTATATACAGCACCATCTCTTCAGTATCTATGTGATTATATACAGCACCATCTCTTCAGTATCTATGTGATTATATACAGCACCATCTCTTCAGTATCTATATGATTATATACAGCACCATCTCTTCAGTATCTATATGATAGGGCGGCAGGTAGCTTAGTGGTTAAGAGCGTTGTGCCAGTAACCGAAAGTTCGCTGGTTCTAATCCCCGAGCCGACTAGGTGAAAAATCTGTCGATGTGCCTTTGAGCAAGGCACTTAACCCTAATTGCTCCTGTAAGTCGCTCTGGATAAGAGCGTCTGCTAAATGACAAAAAATATATATATATATTATATATAGCGCCATCACTTCAGTATATTTTAAGAAGAACTCACCAGCAAAATCAAATCAAATCAAATTTTATTGGTCACATGCGCCGAATACAACAGGTGCAGACATTACAGTGAAATGCTTACTTACAGCCCTTAACCAACAGTGCATTTATTTAAAAAAAAAAAAAGTTTAAAAAAAACAACAACAAAAAAAGTGTTGAGAGAAAAAAGAGCAGAAGTAAAATAAAGTGACGTAGGGAGGCTATATATACAGGGGGTACCGTTGCAGAGTCAATGTGCGGGGGCACCGGCTAGTTGAGGTAGTTGAGGTAATATGTACATGTGGTAGAGTTAAAGTGACTATGCATAAATAAGTAACAGAGTAGCAGCAGCGTAAAAAGGATGGGGTGGGGGGGCAGTGCAAATAGTCCGGGTAGCCATGATTAGCTGTTCAGGAGTCTTATGGCTTGGGGGTAGAAGCTGTTGAGAAGTCTTTTGGACCTAGACTTGGCACTCCGGTACTGCTTGCCGTGCGGTAGCAGAGAGAACAGTCTATGACTAGGGTGGCTGGAGTCTTTGACAATTTTGAGGGCCTTCCTCTGACACCGCCTGGTATAGAGGTCCTGGATGGCAGGAAGCTTGGCCCCAGTGATGTACTGGGCCGTACGCACTACCCTCTGTAGTGCCTTGCAGTCGGAGGCCAAGCAGTTGCCATACCAGGCGGTGATGCAACCAGTCAGGATGCTCTCGATGGTGCAGCTGTAGAATTTTTTGAGGATCTGAGGACCCATGCCAAATCTTTTCAGTTTTAGTTTTTAGCAGTTGGGTAAGTTGAGAGTGACACTTCCCCCTATGGCCTCTCCAAAGGTGATGTACCCTACGGTCCCCAAGCTGATGTAGAGGACGGTGACGATGCCCATTCCCAGATCAGACCTACTGAACTCTGTATCGATATTTCCACAGATAACCGGGAAACAATAGGTAACACAATCTTACTTGTCATTATTGAATGGACACTGTATATGTAATATTAACTATTAATGGTATATGTTTGATGGCAAGTTCTAATGTACATAACATTAATACACCAATACTCTTTTCCCCTCGAAAGCAAAGATGGTCGTTCCAAAGAAGAGAGGGTAGTCATTGGCATGACCCACCTTCGGCAGGTTGATATGATTTGGGATGTTCTAGAAATCAAACAGAAACATTGTTGAATATCAAATCAAGTACAGTAAGGTCATTGAATAACAATGCATAGCAGTTAACCTTGTAGGACGTTCGTCCACCACAAGCAGCAAGAACAGCTTCAATGAGCCTTGGCATAGATTTTATAAGTGTCTAGAACTCTATTGGAGAGTGTGACACCATTCCTCCACGAGAAATTCCATCATTTGGTGTTTTGTTGATGTGGTGGAAACACTGGCAGAGCACACTACCCAGCAGCCACCCAAGGCGGGGGGCCCCCAACTCTTAGTTTTTTGGGGGGTTGTGGTCCCCCCGGAGGTCGGGCCCCCCAGATAGTATATGAACACGTCATAAAGCCATGAATGTTTTTGTTTTTTTTACTACAGGAAATTAGCTCTTCTTCTAGCCATGGTAGCCAAATTAATGGACAACTGGACATGTTTATACATGACCCTAAGCATGATGGGATGTTAATTGCTTAATTAACACAGGAACCACACCTGTGTGGAAGCACCTGCTTTCGGTATACTTTGTGTCCGTTCATTGACTCATGTGTTTCCTTTATTTTGGCATTTACCTGTATTTTGATGTGTTATATATCTGTTTGGGTTAGTGATCATTTGAAGTGGCTCTCTATTTGCCCTCAGCATGCATTTTTTTTCACCATTCTGAATGTCTTAAGCAGGGATGGGCAACTTTGATGGGGGTGGGGGCCACAAAACAAAATCGGAACTCATCATGAAGGGCCACAGGGTCTCACGGTTCTGCACCCACATCCATACCCACACTAGCCTTTGGTTTGTGTTAAAGCAATTTTGCAGTTTTAAAGCATGTTTGCTGCAATTCTACTCATTTTACCATGGAGCAGAGAGAACAATGTGCAGTTTTTAATATGATATCTGATGATCAAATGGGGGCCCCCCCAGTCGGTAGTTTCACCAGGATTACTTTAAGTTTAGATAGCTGGCAGCTAGACTAACTGTAAAATGTTAGCTGACATTGGTTAATTGAGTGACTGTCAGTAACTGGCATAACAAGAGAAAAACTGCTGATGCAGAGTTTGGTTTTCGCCAGGCATAATGGGACCCATCTCGTCCAAAAAAAAGTTGACTCAAGTTTGCCAAAAAAGCTCCTGGATGATCATCAAGACTCTTGGAAGAACGTTCTATGGACAGACGATTCAAAAGTATAACTTTTTGGACGACATGGTTCCAGTAATGCCTGGCGAAAACCAAACTCTGCATTCCACAGTAAGAACATCAACCTCGATATTAGACATATTAGTGGTTAAGGATAATATCATTGCTGATGCTCTGTCCCGTGCTCCTTTAGCCTAGTTTGTATTTTCTCTCTGCTGACCCCTGTGGGCTGCCTGCGCCTCTTTTCTCTTAAATTGCTCCCTAGGTGAGTTTGAGGACGGACAGTCAGCTAGGGGACACGGGGCTACTGTTAGAAGCCGGGACTGGTATCCGTTTTTTATTTTTTTTTGGGGAGGAATTTTGGATTGTTTTAAATATGTTGGGTCGTAATTTGGGTTGAGAGTGGGACCCTCATTTTAAGGAGGGGGGTGTCACGGCCCCTCCGCTGCAGTGCAGGGGCGGTTCCTCCTGGAGGCGGGTCGTTAGTGATTTGGAGTTGGTGTGATTGGAGCCACCTGGGCTCAGGGTATATAAAACTGCTTCACTAACCCCCCCTCTCTCTCTCTCCCTGCTCCTCCAGGTATGATCCTGATTTGTTTGTTCCTTTGTAGGTGTACTTAGTTTCCACTCAGTCATGTTCACACACACACAGATTCATGCATCCATGCACCTTACCTACACCCTACATTATGACATTTCCACACCTCATTCCTTTTTCTTTGTTTAAAGTTAATCGTTTTTGGTTTACAATAAAGAACCTTTTGATTGGCCCTATACCTGTTGTTCATGTCCCGTCATCTTTGCCTCCGGCTCTGAGCCGTCCTACGACACAAAGGTCAAGCATGGTGGAGGTGGTGTGATGGTTTGGGAATGCTTTGCTGCCTCAGGACCTGGACGACTTGCCTTAATAGAAGGAACCATGAATTCTGCTCTGTATCAGAGAATTCTACAGGAGAATGTCAGACCATCCGTCTGTGAGCTGAAGCTGAAGCGCAGCTGGGTCATGCAGCAAGACAATGATCCAAAACACACAATCAAGTCTACATGTAAATTGCTAAAAAACAACAAATTGGAAGTTTTGGAATGGCCCAGTCAAAGTCCAGACCTAATCCCAATTGAGATGTTGTGGCAGGACTTGAAACGAGCAGTTCATGCTTGAAAACCCACACGTCACTGAGTTAAAGCAGTTCTGCATGGAAGAGTGGGCCAAAATTCCTCCATAGCGACGTGAGAGACTGATCAACAACTACAGGAAGCATTTGGTTGGAGTCATTGCAGCTAAATGTGGCACAACCAGTTATTGAGTGTAAGAGGCAATTACTTTTTCACACAGAGGAATTGGGTGTTGCATAACTTTGTTTATGAAATAAATATGTAATTGTTGTGTTATTTGTTCACTTATGTTCCCTTTATCTAATATTAGGTTTTGGTTGAAGATCTGATAACATTCAGTATCACAAATATGCAAAAGTAGAGAAAATTAGAAAGGGGGCAAATACTTTTTCACAGCACTGTATATAGTATTATTATATTGTTGATTGATTGACTATGACTTTTCAGATCACCCAGTAGTGCTATCTGCAGGGTTAGCTCCAGGTAAATATTGCAATCCTTTAGCCATTCCTGGACCTGTGACCAAAAACAAGCTACAAATGGACAGTACCAAAACAAATGATCTAATGATTCTGTCTCTTCGCAGCAAAATCTGCAGAGCTGGGAAGATTGTATCCCCCATATAAATAACATTCTATTGGTAGCAAGAATTTTATATAATAATTGAAATTGAAAAATTCGAAGTTTTGAATCCGGCGTCGTTTTGCGTATCAATTCATTAACACTATGCCATGGAATCGGTACGTTAAAAATCTCTTCCCAACTATTTTGCAATCTATATGGGACGGCTGTCAATCCTTTGGTCCTTAAATGAAACTGGTATACTTTTTTATTTATCACAATTTTCTTTAACCAATTATGGTCTTTAATGCAGGGCCGACAGACAAGTTCCTTACTTTTTCCCCCCTTCCACTTTCCTCTTCCATTTTTGCGGTAATACTGCAATTATTTGGTTGTAATTTTGGGTAGAGCAGACATTTCCATATGTTTTTGTTAGCTGCATGTGCGACATAACTCCACCAGTCCTACATATGATATCATTTACGAAGATTATACCTTTTTGAAACATTTTTTAAATGTTTTATAATGTTTTTTTTAATCAATTAGTATATTTGAGTTTAACCCCAATCCATGTTGCATTATTTGTTCTGTCGTTTCTGGAGGATTAAATTGAAATTGCAACCAACTTTCTATGGCCTGTTTTAGAAATAATTATATTTGGGAGATGATTTCCTTTTCAAATAACTGAAAGTGAGAGGTTGTAAACTGAATAAAGGGGAAAAGGCCATTCTTGAACTTTGTGTGAGACAATCTTACTAATTTGCTAGAGAACCAGTTCGGATTTAAGTGTAACTTTTGTATGACTGAAGCTTTTAGTGATCGGTCTAATTTAATAATTTCTGTCCTCCGAATTCATATTCATTATATAAATAGGCCCGTTTAATTTTGTCTGGCTTGCCGTTCCAAATCAAATGTGTCATATCATTTAAAAAACTGTTAATATGCAGTGACTTTAGTTGGCGAGGCCGCTACTATTTTTATGAATGAATGTTTCATTTTGGAGCTCTGCATCTAGTAGGTTATGTATTTATTGTAATTCAGCTTTTAGCTGCCAACATGTACATCATGAATAAACTAACTAAAACTGAGACTGAGGGAACGATGGCAAGTTACAGGCTTTCCATTTATATTCAGAGGTTGGAGGTTATCACGTTAATACGTTGGGCGCACCGATTGGTGTCACCTCGTTAGTCAGTATGTGTTACACCTGTACTGGCTTGTCATCTCATTAGTCAGAAGGCCTTTCACCTGTGCTGGCCCAGGGGTTATTTAAGAGTGGCTGGCCCAGTGCTCCAGTGGTCTTGGTAGATGTGGAGGGTTAACACCTTTAGTTGTCTCTCACTATTTTGATTTCTAAAAACAATTATTTTTCTGATCTTTCCCCGTTTTGCTCCACTTTTTGGTTTGCTTCCTGTCTAAGTTTGGTGTGGGTTTTAATTTTGTTTGCATCTTCTTGGGCAAATTTTAGTGGGTGCTCATGGTGGGTGTCTTATAGGTCCCAGTTGTTGCTAGTGAACTTTCAGTGGACCCCCCCCCCCCCCCCACCCCATGAGTGTTTTTCAGAACCCCTCATAGAACCCCACCTGTTTCGTTTAGGTTGTTGTTAGTGATTTCTTGTTAGTTCCCCCTTCTGTTTGCCAACCATTTTTTTGGTTTCTTGCTGGGGAACGTAACACATGCCACGGGACTGGGGTGCATTCATTAGTGCACACTGTAGCAAACTGTCCCAAGAATGTTGCTACAGAAAACATTTTGCACTGAAAATAAGTGTTTCTTATTGGACAAGTTCATGTTAGTCCACCTCCCCAGAAGACACAGTCCTGCAGTATGTACCGTGAAGAAGATAGACCTGCAGTACGTACCATGAAGCAGTAGATAGACCTGCAGTACGTACCATGAAGCAGATAGACCTGCAGTACCTACGATGAAGCAGATAGACCTGCAGTACCTATGATGAAGCAGATAGACCTGCAGTATCTACGATGAAGCAGATAGACCTGCAGTACCTATGATGAAGCAGATAGACCTGCAGTATCTACCATGAAGCAGTAGATAGACCTGCAGTACCTACGATGAAGCAGATAGACCTGCAGTACCTACGATGAAGCAGATAGACCTGCAGTACCTACGATGAAGCAGATAGACCTGCAGTACCTACGATGAAGCAGATAGACCTGCAGTACCTACGATGAAGCAGATAGACCTGCAGTACCTACGATGCAGAAGATAGACCTGCAGTACTTACGATGAAGCAGATAGACCTGCAGTACCTACGATGAAGCAGATAGACCTGCAGTACCTACGATGAAGCAGATAGACCTGCAGTACCTATGATGAAGCAGATAGACCTGCAGTATCTACGATGAAGCAGATAGACCTGCAGTACCTACGATGCAGCAGATAGACCTGCAGTATCTACGACGAAGCAGTAGATAGTCCTGCAGTACGTACCATGAAGCAGTAGATAGTCCTGCAGTATGTACCATGAAGCAGTAGATAGTCCTGCAGTACGTACCATGAAGCAGTAGATAGTCCTGCAGTACGTACCATGAAGCAGTAGATAGTCCTGCAGTACGTACCATGAAGCAGTAGATAGTCCTGCAGTACGTACCATGAAGCAGTAGATAGTCCTGCAGTACGTACCATGAAGCAGTAGATAGTCCTGCAGTACATACCATGAAGCAGTAGATAGTCCTGCAGTACGTACCATGAAGCAGTAGATAGTCCTGCAGTACGTACCATGAAGCAGTAGATAGTCCTGCAGTACGTACCATGAAGCAGTAGATAGTCCTGCAGTACGTACCATGAAGCAGTAGATAGTCCTGCAGTACGTACCATGAAGCAGTAGATAGTCCTGCAGTACGTACCATGAAGCAGTAGATAGTCCTGCAGTACGTACCATGAAGCAGTAGATAGTCCTGCAGTACGTACCATGAAGCAGTAGATAGTCCTGCAGTACGTACCATGAAGCAGTAGATAGTCCTGCAGTACGTACCATGAAGCAGTAGATAGTCCTGCAGTACGTACCGTGAAGCAGAAGAAGTAGATGAGGACCAGGCTAGTACACATGACCAGGTTGGCTACCAGAGAGAGGGGGGCCAGGTACTTCAGGTTGGGGGTGAACACCAGGAGTATAACGGCTGGCAGGAAACACAACATGTAGAGACGGGAGTCGAAGCTGGGGACGGTCACAGCCGTCTGGTTGTTGTGACAGCTCATGGTTGTACCGTTAGAAGACTCCACCACCTGAAGGAAGAATGCCAAAGAATAATGAACACATTAGGGTCTGCTTTTCATCCCTTTCACATGTCGAGCCAACCTAAAACTGTACTGGACCTGGTATTTTCTTCACATTGCCCTTTCCAGCAGGGTTCAAGCAACTGTGATAGTCAGGACTCAAGAGGACTGAACAGTATACATCACGTTCGGAAGGTATTCAGACCCCTTGACTTGTAGTTTTTCATCAATCCACACACACAATACCACATAATGACAAAGCAAAAACAGGTTTAGACATTTCCGAAAAATTTATTAAAAATAAAAAACAAATACCTTATTTACATAAGTATTCAGACCCTTTGCTATGAAACTTGAAATTGAGCTCAGGTGCATCTTGTTTCCACTGATCATCCTTGAGATGTTTCTACAACTTGATTGGAGTCCTCCTGTGGTCAATTCTATGACTGGACATGATTTGGAAAGGCACACACCTGTCTATATAAGCTCCCACAGTTGACAGTGCATGTCAGAGCAAAAACCAAGCCACGAATTATCCGTAGAGCTCCGAGACAGGATTGTGTCGAGGCACAGATCTGGGTAAGGGTACCAAAACATGTTTGTAGCATTGAAGGTCCCCAAGAACACAGTGGCCTCCATCATTCTTAAATGAAATAAGTTTGGAACCACCAAGACTCTTCCTAGAGCTGGCCTCCCGGCCAAACTGAGCAATAGAGGAGAAGGGCGTTGGTCAGGGAGGTGACCAAGAAACCGATGGTCACTCTGACAGAGCTCCAGAGTTCCTCTGTGGAGATGGGAGAACCATCTAGAAGGACAACTATCTCTGCAGCACTCCACCAATCAGGCCTTTTTGGTAGAGTGGCCAGATGGAAGCCACTCCTCAGTAAAAGGCACATGGAGCCAATTGTAGTTTGCCAAAAGGCACCTAAAGGACTCTCAGACCATGAGAATTATGATTCTCTGGTCTGATGAAACCAAGATTGAACTCTTTGGCCTGAATGCCAAGCGTCACGTCTGAAGGAAACCTGGCACCATCCCTAAGGTGAAGCATGGTGGTGGCAGCATCATGCTGTGGGATGTTTTTCAGCGGCAGGGACTGGGAGACTAGTCAGGATCGAGGGAAAGATGAACGGTGCAAAATACAGAGAGATCCTTGATGAAAACCTGCTCCAGAGCGCTCAGGACCTCAGACTGGGGCGAAGGTTCACCTTCCAACAGGACAACGACCCTAAGCACACAGCCAAGACAACGCAGGAGAGGCTTCGGGACAAGTCTCTGAATGTCCTTGAGTGGCCCAGCCAGAGCCCGGACTTGAACCAGATCAAACATCTTTGGAGAGACCTGAAAATAGCTGTGCAGCGACGTTCTCCATCCAACCTGACAGAGCTTGAGAGGATCTGCAGAGAAGAATGGGAGAAACTCCCCAAATACAGGTATGGCAAGCTTGTAGTGTCATACCCAAGAAGACTCGAGGCTGTAATCGCTGCCAAAGGTGCTTCAACAAAGTACTGAGTAAAGGGTCTGAATACTTATGTAAATGTGAACGTTCTTTATTTTTAATACATTTGCTAAAATGTCTAAAAACCTATTTTTACTTTGTCATTATGGGGTATTGTGTGTAGATTGATGAAGGAGGGAAAACAAGTGCTAGAATAAGGCTGTAACGTAACAAAATGTGGAAAAAGTCAAGGAGTCTGAATACTTTCCCAATGCACTGTAGCTGAGTAACAGAACGAGCAGAATCTTGTCCTCTCCAGTGATAATAACATCCAAACTGCTGGTCCTGCTAGAATCTTGTCCTCTCCAGTGATAATAACATCCAAACTGCTGGTCCTGCTAGAATCTTGTCCTCTCCAGTGATAATAACATCCAAACTGCTGGTCCTGCTAGAATCTTGTCCTCTCCAGTGATAATAACATCCAAACTGCTGGTACTGCTCAGGAAGAAGTAAACAGCACCACCTAGTGGTGTGAAACAGTACTAGTTAACATGATGACATGTCCCCTACCTGTTTGACGTTGTCACTGAGGAAGACGAAGTAAACGCAGCAGAAACCCAGCTGGGTGATGATCAGAAACACGTTCACTATCCACCTGAAGGAAGACAGGGACAAGGACACAAATCAACATCTGTTCTAAACATTAGAGGGGACTGGAAACACAAGCCAGATATTAAACCAAACACTGTGAGGAGTCGACAACTCTTATTGAATAAGGTCATAACACATGTCATAATATAGAAAAATAGAGAGAGTTCGACTTGTTATTACAGAATACATTTCACATGATTCATAACCTTCCTGTGGGTTCTTCTACTGCAGACACATTCTACTGCAGACACATTCTACTGCAGACACATTCTACTGCAGACACACATTCTACTGCAGACACACATTCTACTGCAGACACACATTCTACTGCAGACACATATTCTACTGCAGACACATTCTACATATTTACCTCCCCCATATTGAGTGCCTTCTCAGCCACAATTCATTCTCCATACCATACTGCACAGCATCACCATAGTCCAGAAAGGGCTTGTTCAAACTAGAACAGAGGGAACATCACTCAGAAAGGGCTTGTTCAACCTAGAACAGAGGGAACATCATTCAGAAAGGGCTTGTTCAACCTAGAACAGAGGGAACATCCCTCAGAAAGGGCTTGTTCAACCTAGAACAGCGGGAACATCACTCAGAAAGGGCTTGTTCACCCTAGAACAGAGGGAACATCACTCAGAAAGGGCTTGTTCAACCTAGAACAGGGGGAACATCACTCAAAGGGCTTGTTCAACCTAGAACAGGGGGAACATCACTCAAAGGGCTTGTTCAACCTAGAACAGAGGGAAAACACTCAAGGCCCAGATTCAGAGTGCTGATCTAGGATGAGGTCTACCCTGTCCATGTAATCTGATCTAGGATCAGGTCTACCCTGTCCATGTAATCTGATCTAGGATCAGGTCTTCCCTGTCCATGAAATCTGATCTAGGATCAGGTCTACCCTGTCCATGTAATCTGATCTAGGATCAGGTCTTCCCTGTCCATGTAATCTGATCTAGGATCAGGTCTTCCCTGTCCATGAAATCTGATCTAGGATCAGGTCTACCCTGTCCATGAAATCTGATCTAGGATCAGGTCTACCCTGTCCATGAAATCTGATCTAGGATGAGGTCTACCCTGTCCATGTAATCTGATCTAGGATCAGGTCTACCCTGTCCATGTAATCTGATCTAGGATCAGGTCTACCCTGTCCATGTAATCTGATCTAGGATCAGGTCTACCCTGTCCATGTAATCTGATCTAGGATCAGGTCTACCCTGTCCATGTAATCTTATTCATTATGGTCTAAAAGGCAAAACTGAATATGTGCCCAGATTTCAACGACCATCCAACTTGAAACACCCGTCAACAAAATGACCATACACAGTGTTTACCCCATGTTCACTAAATGTGACAGTATTACTTCAGCTGGTGTGAGGAATCTGACGGACATGTTCCTGTCACGACACTGGTAGAGGACATTACTAGCCCATGTTTGATCATCTAATAGAGGACAAGGTTTTGAACAATGGATGTAGGGTATCCTACGCAACTGAAATGTAAGGCGTAGGGTGCATTAACATCGTGCTCGTTTAGTTTAGTTTTAGTTTGCTTGTTTTAAGAAATACAAAATGGTTTTCACTTCTCCTACAAAGGAAACTAACCGCACCAGATCAACAACATACCTTGTAGTCTGAACACACCCTAAGGATGCCACTAGAACACAGTGGACTGATGACTGGCTTGGTTTGTTTCATTAAACATCCTTCTTTATCCAATATTAGGCTTGATGGCATAGCTGCATTTGTGGTGACTTTGACTTAGGTTAAACTATGAACTGAACACATTTAACCATTCCCGTTTCCAGGACAACGTGAGAGATTTCTTCATAGACAAACTGAAAACAGGAAGTGCACAATGTGAAAGTAATGTACTTCCTCTTCTTGATACTGGACTCAAACTATTACTGAACAAAAATATAAAAACGTAACATGCAACAATTTCAAAGATTCTACTGAGTTACAGTTCATAAATGAAAAATCAGTCAATTGAAATAACTTCATTCAGCCCCTGTTTAATCATCTTCTTGTCAGGTGGATGGATCATCTTGGCAGGTAGACAGACTGACCGGTAGACAGACTGACAGACAGGTAGACAGACAGAATGTATATTACAGAGATATATCATCTACACATCGTGTATGACCAGTATGAAAATGTATGAACTCACTAACTGTAAGTCGCTCTGGATAAGAGCGTCTGCTAAATGACTACAATGTAAATGTAAAATGTAACTGTTTGCTTCTAACCCTAACCCTTACCACAAGGCCTGCGTTCCGGACAGCCAGAGGTACCGATGTTCTCCTCCTAACCCTAACCCTTACCACAAGGCCTGCGTTCCTGACAGCCAGAGGTACCGATGTTCCCCTCCTAACCCTAACCCTTACCACAAGGCCTGCGTTCCGGACAGCCAGAGGTACCGATGTTCTCCTCCTAACCCTAACCCTTACCACAAGGCCTGCGTTCCTGACAGCCAGAGGTACCGATGTTCCCCTCCTAACCCTAACCCTTACCACCAGGCCTGCGTTCCTGACAGCCAGAGGTACCGATGTTCCCCTCCTAACCCTAACACTTACCACAAGGCCTGCGTTCCTGACAGCTAGAGGTACCGATGTTCCCCTCCTAACCCTAACCCTTACCACAAGGCCTGCGTTCCGGACAGCCAGAGGTACCGATGTTCCCCTCCTAACCCTAACCCTTACCACCAGGCCTGCGTTCCTGACAGCCAGAGGTACCGATGTTCCCCTCCTAACCCTAACACTTACCACAAGGCCTGCGTTCCTGACAGCTAGAGGTACCGATGTTCCCCTCCTAACCCTAACCCTTACCACAAGGCCTGCGTTCCTGACAGCCAGAGGTACCGATGTTCCCCTCCTAACCCTAACCCTTACCACCAGGCCTGCGTTCCTGACAGCCAGAGGTACCGATGTTCCCCTCCTAACCCTAACACTTACCACAAGGCCTGCGTTCCTGACAGCTAGAGGTACCGATGTTCCCCTCCTAACCCTAACCCTTACCACAAGGCCTGCGTTCCTGACAGCCAGAGGTACCGATGTTCCCCTCCTAACCCTAACCCTTACCACAAGGCCTGCGTTCCTGACAGCCAGAGGTACCGATGTTCCCCTCCTAACCCTAACCCTTACCACAAGGCCTGCGTTCCTGACAGCCAGAGGTACCGATGTTCCCCTCCTAACCCTAACCCTTACCACAAGGCCTGCGTTCCTGACAGCCAGAGGTACTGATGTTCCCCTCCTAACCCTAACCCTTACCACAAGGCCTGCGTTCCGGACAGCCAGAGGTAGGCCAAGCAGCCCTGTTCAGATGTTCCCCTCCTAACCCTAACCCTTACCACAAGGCCTGCGTTCCTGACAGCTAGAGGTACCGATGTTCCCCTCCTAACCCTAACCCTTACCACCAGGCCTGCGTTCCGGACAGCCAGAGGTACCGATGTTTCCCCTCCTAACCCTAACCCTTACCACAAGGCCTGCGTTCCGGACAGCCAGAGGTACCGATGTTCCCCTCCTAACCCTAACCCTTACCACAAGGCCTGCGTTCCGGACAGCCAGAGGTACCGATGTTCCCCTCCTAACCCTAACCCTTACCACAAGGCCTGCGTTCCTGACAGCCAGAGGTACCGATGTTCCCCTCCTAACCCTAACCCTTACCACAAGGCCTGCGTTCCGGACAGCCAGAGGTACCGATGTTCCCCTCCTAACCCTAACCCTTACCACAAGGCCTGCGTTCCTGACAGCCAGAGGTACCGATGTTCCCCTCCTAACCCTAACCCTTACCACAAGGCCTGCGTTCCTGACAGCCAGAGGTACCGATGTTCCCCTCCTAACCCTAACCCTTACCACAAGGCCTGCGTTCCGGACAGCTAGAGGTACCGATGTTCCCCTCCTAACCCTAACCCTTACCACAAGGCCTGCGTTCCTGACAGCCAGAGGTACCGATGTTCCCCTCCTAACCCTAACCCTTACCACAAGGCCTGCGTTCCGGACAGCCAGAGGTACCGATGTTCCCCTCCTAACCCTAACCCTTACCACAAGGCCTGCGTTCCTGACAGCCAGAGGTACCGATGTTCCACTCCTAACCCTAACCCTTACCACAAGGCCTGCGTTCCTGACAGCCAGAGGTACCGATGTTCCCCTCCTAACCCTAACCCTTACCACAAGGCCTGCGTTCCTGACAGCCAGAGGTACCGATGTTCCCCTCCTACCCTAACCCTTACCACAAGGCCTGCGTTCCTGACAGCCAGAGGTACCGATGTTCCCCTCCTAACCCTAACCACAAGGCCTGCGTTCCTGACAGCCAGAGGTACCGATGTTCCCCTCCTAACCCTAACCCTTACCACAAGGCCTGCGTTCCTGACAGCCAGAGGTAGGCCAAGCAGCCCTGTTCAGATGTTCCCCTCCTAACCCTAACCCTTACCACAAGGCCTGCGTTCCTGACAGCCAGAGGTAGGCCAAGCAGCCCTGTTCCGATGTTCCCCTCCTAACCCTAACCCTTACCACCAGGCCTGCGTTCCGGACAGCCAGAGGTAGGCCAAGCAGCCCTGTTCAGATGTTCCCCTCCTAACCCTAACCCTTACCACCAGGCCTGCGTTCCTGACAGCCAGAGGTACCGATGTTCCCCTCCTAACCCTAACCCTAACCCTTACCACCAGGTCTGCGTTCCTGACAGCCAGAGGTAGGCCAAGCAGCCCTGTTCCGATGTTCCCCTCCTAACCCTAACCCTTACCACAAGGCCTGCGTTCCGGACAGCCAGAGGTACCGATGTTCCCCTCCTAACCCTAACCCTTACCACCAGGCCTGCGTTCCGGACAGCCAGAGGTACCGATGTTCCCCTCCTAAACCTAACCCTTACCACAAGGCCTAAGTTCCGGACAGCCAGAGGTACCGATGTTCCCCTCCTAACCCTAACCCTTACCACAAGGCCTGCGTGCCGGACAGCCAGAGGTACCGATGTTCCCCTCCTAACCCTAACCCTTACCACCAGGCCTGCGTTCCGGACAGCCAGAGGTACCGATGTTCCCCTCCTAACCCTAACCCTTACCACCAGGCCTGCGTTCCGGACAGCCATAGGTACCGATGTTCCCCTCCTAACCCTAACCCTAACCCTTACCACCAGGCCTGCGTTCCGGACAGCCAGAGGTACCGATGTTCCCCTCCTAACCCTAACCCTAACCCTTACCACCAGGCCTGCGTTCCGGACAGCCAGAGGTACCGATGTTCCCCTCCTAACCCTAACCCTAACCCTTACCACCAGGCCTGCGTTCCTGACAGCCAGAGGTACCAATGTTCCCCTCCTAACCCTAACACTTACCACAAGGCCTGCGTTCCTGACAGCCAGAGGTAGGCCAAGCAGCCCTGTTCAGATGTTCCCCTCCTAACCCTAACCCTTACCACAAGGCCTGCGTTCCTGACAGCCAGAGGTAGGCCTAGCAGCCCTGTTCCTGACAGCCAGAGGTAGGCCAAGCAGCCCTGTTCCTGACAGCCAGAGGTAGGCCTAGCAGCCCTGTTCCTGACAGCCAGAGGTAGGCCTAGCAGCCCTGTTCCGGACAGCCAGAGGTAGGCCTAGCAGCCCTGTTCCGGACAGCCAGAGGTAGGCCAAGCAGCCCTGTTCCTGACAGCCAGAGGTAGGCCAAGCAGCCCTGTTCCTGACAGCCAGAGGTAGGCCTAGCAGCCCTGTTCCGGACAGCCAGAGGTAGGCCAAGCAGCCCTGTTCCTGACAGCCAGAGGTAGGCCTAGCAGCCCTGTTCCGGACAGCCAGAGGTAGGCCAAGCAGCCCTGTTCAGATGTTCCCCTCCTAACCCTAACCCTTACCACCAGGCCTGCGTTCCTGACAGCCAGAGGTAGGCCAAGCAGCCCTGTTCCTGACAGCCAGAGGTAGGCCTAGCAGCCCTGTTCCTGACAGCCAGAGGTAGGCCAAGCAGCCCTGTTCCTGACAGCCAGAGGTAGGCCTAGCAGCCCTGTTCCTGACAGCCAGAGGTAGGCCTAGCAGCCCTGTTCCTGACAGCCAGAGGTAGGCCAAGCAGCCCTGTTCCGGACAGCCAGAGGTAGGCCTAGCAGCCTGTTCCGGACAGCCAGAGGTAGGCCAAGCAGCCCTGTTCCTGACAGCCAGAGGTAGGCCTAGCAGCCCTGTTCCGGACAGCCAGAGGTAGGCCTAGCAACCCTGTTCCGACAGGAGGTAGCGGCCCTGTTTACACAGCATTGCAACAGCCTGTTCCCATGTTCCCTCCTAAAACCCTAAAACCCCACCACCAGGCCTGCGTTCCGGACGCCAGAGGTAGCCCAACGCCCTGTTCAAAGTTCCCCTCCTAAAACCCCCAACCCTTACC